AGTGCTTAACCTCTGAGCCATCTCTCCAGCCCCTCTCCAGCTCAGGAGCAGAGAGACATAACTGAGTAACCACCAGAGCCTCAATTCACCAAAATGATGAAGTAATTTAAAATCAACATGGACCCAATGATATAGCCTCAAAAGCACATGGATATTAAGAGGAACAGATGGACACAACCATCGGCTTAGTGGGAGACTGCTGTTTTGCTTGGCTGGCTTTTGTTCATTTGTTTTCTGATGTTGGTCTTGTTATAGAGTTCTAGTTGGCTTGCAAGTCACTATGTGGCCACAGACTGGCCTTGAACTCCAAGAAATCTTCCTGTCTCCGCCTCTGGAATGCCAGAATTATAGGAATGAGCCACCGCGTACCTGGCTTTAGATTTCAACACCTCATACTAGAGTGGTTTCACTATTTTCATTGTAGTGCTGTGTGATCAAACCCATACCACTAAGCTATAACCTCTAAATATCAATCAACCAAGTACTACCAAAATGAAAAAAAAAATCAAGGAGTTAAAGGCTGAGCATGGTGACGTACACCTTTAATCCTGCCTCTTGGGAAACAGACAGGAGGAGCTCAGTGAGTTCCAGGCCAGCCTAGTTGGTCTACATAGTGAGACCTTGTCTCAGAAATATTTTTTTTTTTTGATTTTTGAGGCAGGGTTTCTCCGAGGCTTTTGGAGGCTGTCCTGGAACTAGCTCTTGTAGACCAGGCTGGCCTCGAACTCACAGAGATCCGCCTGCCTCTGTCTCCCGGGTGCTGGGATTAAAGGCGTGCTGCACCAACGCCCGGCTTCAGAAATATTTTTAATCAAGAAACTTTACCTAGGACAGTCGGTGGTGGCCCACGCCTTTAATCCCAGCACTTGGGAGACAGAGGCAGATGGATCTCTGTGAGTTCAAGGCCAGCCTGGTCTACAGAGTGAGTTCTAGGACAGGCTCCAAAGCTACACTGACAAACCCTATCTCAAAAAACAAAACATCAACAACATAAATCAAACAGGAAAAACAGAAAGAAGAAGGAATTATATCTGAAAAGCCCAGGCCAGTTGTGTCTAAAACTAGGGAGTCTTATAACCCTCAAAGAAGAACACACAGAACAGTTGCTCACAAAAGTCTACCCTGCACCCCCTGCACCTCAACATGTTGTAAAGATGAGATCCCACACTGCAAAGAGCAAATCTTACATTGAAGGTGAGCCCCGGCCACGGGCCACTGTGTAAGGATGGACTTAAAAGCCTCTCTGCACAGTGTGTGTGTGGGGGGAGCACGCCTCCAATCCCAGCACTGGGAGGCAGATGGGAGAAAAAGACAGTGACATCCAGACATGGGAAGTCACCTGAGCCCTCTGAGATCTGGGACAGATACTTAACTCCAGGCTACTAAACACAACTGGAAATGCAGTCAACCAAGTGTGCACATTACACGGGGCATTCTTAAGAGAAGGGTGTGTTGGGGGTGGGCAGGCTGGCAGACGGACAGAACGTTTATTCACATACACTCAGCACCAAAAAGGGCACCCCTCTCCTACCTGTGCCTTCTCTGACATGTGTGGCTTTGATATGAGTGTTTTCTGGGTTGGTACATGTTTGTCATGAGAAGATAAGCGGTCCCCTTTGGAGGTTCTCCCGGGGTACACAGAACTCACAGTCCAGACAGGACCCAAGCTCCAGAACAAGATCACCAGGCCTTCACTCAGCCCGGCACCAGAAGCAGCACGGGTGTACACGCTCACACACGCGCACGCGCACACGCACACACCAGCCTCTAAGCACTGAGTAGCTGTCCAGTTCTTCTTAGTGTACAAAATGGAGAGTTGTCTGGCTGTAGATCCTGTATACTATAGACAAGGTGAATCAATCAAGTCACTCCTCCTCTCCCAGCCCAGAGCAACTGTTAGAAGCTAGGTGTGGCGTGAAAATGAGTCCTTGGAGGACGAGGCCATTTATAGCATTGGCTGAACCTGCCCTACCACAAGAGCTGGCGTACCATTACCTACGAATGCAAACCTGAAGGTTACGTGGACTCACACCCCTCTCCTCCATGCAGTGCAACCACCGGCTCTGAGTTCTGGCTCTCAGCTTGTCCCATGGACAGAAACCAACCTTCTCATTGCCTGGGGCACCAAGTTTATCCCATATCATCCAGTGCAGGACACCCAGGCCTCTGTGAGTGACCATGGAGACGGTTCTCTGCCCAGATGAGCTCCTGGGGAAATCATATAACACACCAAGTTGTCTGCGCCAGAAAACTTTAAGACACCTCTGCTCAGTTTGCATCCAGACAGAATGGGGTGATGCCTCACACACGCCTTGTGACTCTCTTTGGGTTTCACAATCATATTAAAAGCGTTAGCCTTGCCGGGCGTTGGTGGCGCACGCCTTTAATCCCAGCACTCGGGAGGCAGAGGCAGGCGGATCTCTGTAAGTTCGAGACCAGCCTGGACTACCAAACGAGTTCTAGGACAGCCTCCACAGCCACAGAGAAACCCTGTCTCGAAAAACCAAAAAAAAAAAAAAAAAAAAAAAAAAAAGCATTAGCCTTGGTGAGGAGCACTTCCTGGATCCACAATACATAGTCTAGAAACATAGTCCAGAAAACTTCATGCTGCAGGCCTCAGTAGGTCTTCCTGCTGCTCTCCAACCTCCCCAGAATCCAGATCCTGTACAGGTTCTTCAAACAAAACAAAACAAACAAGCAAACAAAAAAAACCCGGGCAGTGGTGACCCACGCCTTTGATCCCAGCACTCTGGAGGCAGAAGCAGGGGATCTCTGTGAATTCGAGGCTAGACTGGTTTACAGAACAGGACAGCCAGGGCAACACAAAGAAACCCTATCTTGAAGAAAAAAAGAAATGGAAAGGAAGAAAATGAAAATAAAATCATTTTAAAAAGCTAGCAGGCACATAGTACACTTATCAAAGTTTCTGCCAAACAGAAGTTTGCAGTTTAGTTGAGAAGTGACAGCTATTATTAAAATAGAAAAGTATCAGACTCTTGATAAGCAGTACGATGAAATAAAATAAATTTATCTATTTTTAAAAAGATTTAAATTCAAACTTGGAAGGTTTTCTTTTTTAATCTAGGGAGAGAATGTTTCTAGCTAGCTGTGAGGGAGAAGAGAGTAGAGTCCTCAGATTATCTAAATTGAGATTCTCCACCAGTCCTATCTCAACAGGCAGTCTCTTAGTCATGTTTCTTTTCTGAAAAGTCAGAGTTGGGACTAAAGATCCCTGTGTCCCTTCCAGACATAAGTTTCCCATTTCACAGCAGAAATTGCAGACTAGTACTCAGCAGCTAGACACTACCCATCTCTTCTGGTCTGTGTGGACTTTTAATCTGAGGGCTTATCCTCACTAATTGAATGTGATGTCTTAGCTTACTACATGTTTTTAGACAGAGTCTCACTATGTAGCCCAGCTAGCCTTGGACCCACAATCCTCCTGCACCAGTGCTGAGGTTACCAGTATTGCTGCTGTGCCCTGGCAAGTGTGACACTTTTAAATCTGTCCTCCAGTTTGCCACAGTCCCCAGCATTCCTCCTGCTGCACTGCAGTCTGTCTCACTCTCCTGTCACCTCTTATCACCTGCCCAGACCTTGAGGGACTTGAGCTCAAGACACCTGTTCTCTGAGGAGCTGTGTCACTGCTCACCGTGTGATGAAAGTGACGGGAGCCAATTAGCAGCAGCAACGTTCTGACAGAGAAAGAACTTTGTCTTCCAAAAACCTAGCTAATGATGATGGCAGGGTTCTCGCCCCTCCAGAGCCATCTTGCCAGCTTGTAGCGGCACATGCTTCTCTCCTGTCCTAGAGCAAGTTCCAAGACAGCCAGGGCTACACAGAGAAACCGTCTGGGGGGGGGGAAACCATCTCTTGCCAAGAAGCTGCTGGTCTAGAGATGTTTAACGAGTGATCACAGAGTGGTGGGCGCCTTCCCACGGTCGGCTGTAGCCAACCATGCACGTCTGATCCTGACTGCCAAGGCACAGGATGTTTCTCAGCGTGGCGGTTCTCAGTAGTGAAGGCCATTATGTCTTCGGGCTGTTCTCATCATAAAGCAGTTTGCCCACCTGTAGTTCCTGGCGTATTATGCAATGGACAGGCTGGGGGGCACAACCCGAGGCCCTCTTGTCGTGGCCGGACTCAGGCTAGGAAAAGAACGCAGGCTTCATTTCAGCTGGCTGCCACAGAAGGCAAGTGAGTTTGAGGGAGGTAAACACAGAACACGGCGAGACGTGGTCTCAGTGCCCAGCCTTCGCACCAACCTTTAATCCCAGCACTTGGGAGGCAGAGGCAGGTGGACCTCTGTGAGTTTGAGGCCATCCTGGTCTACAAAGTGAGTTCTGTTACACAGAGAAATTCTGCCTCAAAAACAAAAAACAAAGTAAGAAAAAAAAAGGAAAAAAAGAACTTTGTAAATACCTAGCATGAGAGACCTCCTTCTGCACAAAGCACCTAATATGTAAGCATCCTTATGCACTAACCCAAAGCAGGAGCTCTGAGCAGGGGCCCCTGACACACAAAAGCTCAGAATAGCCGGGCTCTGCTCAGCACAGAATGTCACATTGGGAGAGCTGGACGTGGGAGTTCACCTCGTTTAAGAAAACTCAAAATGAATCCAGTCTTTCCTTAAGAATCCCACAGTCCCATCTGGTACTTGCTATATTTGCTCAGAACTGTACCAAAAAATTAAAGGCTATTTAGAGCACGTTGTTGTGGCTTATGAAAGCATTTCCCATCTACTAAAGAATATCACAGACACGGAGACATCGACTCTAAGAAGAAGTTTAAAAACAGCACCCATGGCCAGGCAGGGCAGCATACCTTCAGCATAACCCCGGAAGGGCATCATACCCTCAGCATGACCCTGGGAGGCATCATACCTTCAGCATGACCCCGGAAGGGCATCATACCCTCAGTATGACCCTGGGAGGCATCATACCTTCAGCATGACCCCGGAAGGGCATCATACCCTCAGCATGACCCTGGGGGCATCATACCTTCAGCATGACCCCGGCAGGTGACAGAGTCGAGAAGAGGCTTCTATCTCACAGGGGCACTTGGAGATGAGAATCAGACTCCAGCTCATCAGCCCCAGACCAGAGGCTAGGTCTCTGTTGTCACTATCAGAAGGGAAAGGTATGAAGGGAAAAAGAATGCAGTTGGTCAAGCATCACCTTCAGACTCAGCTGCCTGCTTTGTTCAGGCCAACTTTGCCTCCACGGTGACCTTGGCCAAACTTCATTAATATCCGTGCTTCAGTTTCCTTATCTGCAAAGCGATATACCAAGAGAATCTATGCCTAGGAGGACTGTTGTGGGGTAATAGGTAAGCCCACCAGACTTGTCATGAAAACTTGAAGCATGTGAGCAGCTCCTGAGGCACTGGCCAATGTAGCTCCCCAAGTGGTGATAAACAACGCATTGTTGTAAATTTCAGGCTGGTTGTGTTTTTAACTTGGTATAAACAAGTAATATAGGGCATCCTGTGTGGGGTGAGTCTTTAACCCAATGAATAGGGCATTATTTAAGAAGGGATGACATGCACACCGTGACAACAAAAGCTGAGATTGCAGCTGTTTTTTTTTTTTTCACTCATTTAATCTCTTCTTTTAAACATTTTCCTCTGCAGCCCAGGCTGACCTCAGTCTCAATCCTCCCTCCTCCCTCACGCTGGGATTTTAGGCATCCCCCATCATTATCAAGATGGCAGCTTTAGCTGGGCCTGCCAGGGCATGCCATTAACCCCAGCAGTTGGGGGGCAGGGGTAGATGGCTCTCCTGAGTTCCAAGCCAGCCAGGGCCACTTTGTCTTAAATAATATTAGAGTTTTTGTAAGGTCAGCAAGATGGCACACCAGATAAAGGGACTTGCCACCAAACCTGATGACCCAGGTTTGATCGCAGGACGCCAGATGGTGGAAGGGGAGAAATAACTCCCTCAAGGTGACCTCTAGCCTCCACTCCAGGCTGTGTGTGCATATATGTGATAAGTAAATAAACAAAACACAATTTCCTAAAGGTTAGAGCTTTGTAAACACAAGCAAGGGACACCAAGAGCTGTCAGCAAGCATTGGAAGCAGGACATATAGCTTGGCCTTGAGATCCAGAGCCAAAAAAAAGCAACAAGCACCAATGATCTACGGCAGCTGCAGTCTGAGAAAATACATTTCTGCTGTCGGAATTCTAGTACTCTGTAGCGCTTTGCTACCGGGGACTGGCAATGTGGTGAAGTATGGGATCGTCTGGAAAACAAGCCTCTGGGCGCTCTTGTTGACAGTTTCCTTGGGTTAATAAGATGAGACCCACCAGACAGTGGTGGCACACATCTTTAATCCCAGAACTTGAGAGGCAGAGGCAGGCAGATCACCGTGAGTTCGAGGCCAGCCTGGTCTACAGAGTGAGTTCCAGGACAGTCAGAGCTGTTACACAGAGAAACCCTGTCTAGAAAAAAAAACAAAACAACAACAAAAATGAGACCCACCCACTGGATTAGCACTATTTCCTGTGTTGGGCTTCTGCACTGTGTAAAAATAGGAAAGTGTACTGAGCAAAAGCCTTCATTACTCTCTTCTTCCAGACTGGAGATCAAATGTGTTAAGCTTCTGTGGTCGTGCCTGCCCTACCAGGATGGCTTGTGCCCTGGACCTGTGAACCAAAACAAACTCTTCATTTCTTAAGTTGCTTTTGTTGGGTGTTATATATCACAGTGTCAGGAAAGGACACTAATACAGGTGCCTGTCTCCCTGGTCTCTTGCTCAGAGACGCGATCTGTCAGTCCTAACATGTGTGTGATCGCTTACATGTTGCCTCCATAACGCTGGATTGATGGGACTGCCTGAATGGACTTTCAGCTTCCAACACAACAAACTAAATAGATCTCTTCACTCTGAAAAAAAAAGCTAGCCTGCCCCAGCTATTTCATCATACTAAGAAAAAACAGACACACTGTGTTGAATGTTCAAGCTCTCTACGGCTGGAACAGAGAGGACATGTAAATGTATGACTGAAGTAGAGATGAGCAGAGGTAAAATAAGCGAACGTGAATGATGGGAAGGTGTGGGTACAAATGTGCATCTGAACAGGGACAGTGCACAGACACACTCGAGCAGAACTCATATACACTTGATCGGGGGACAACGGTGTTCGGGCATGAGCAGTCAGGCCCTAAGCTAGGCTTTGGTCACTTGGCTGAGACAAGACTCTACACAAGCTGTCTTATGAGACTTTCCAGTGTGCCAGAAACCTAGATATGCGTGTAAAGTCTCCTAATTTTTTTTTTTTTTTGGTTTCTCGAGACAGGGTTTCTCTGTGGCTTTGGAAGCTGTCCTGGAACTCACTTTGTAGACCAGGCTGGCCTCGAACTCACAGAGATCTGCCTGCCTCTGCCTCCCGAGTTCTGGGATTAAAGGCGTGCGCCACCAACGCCCGGCTAAAGTCTCCTAATTTTAAGACTTTTATTTATTCTTATTTTATGTGTGTTGGTGTTTTGCCAGCATGGCATGCACATGCATCTCATGGAGCAACAGGTACTCTGAGTCATCTCTCCAGCCCTCAGTCTCCTAATGTCTATAATGTTGGCTCTGGATCAAAATAAACATGAGCAGATATTATGACCCTGGTGCCTACTGAGGCTCTAGTGTCCCGTGTGTACCCTTGGACAGGATGCACAGTGGCTGATGAGTGACAATCAGTAGTCTAGAGGAAATGCACCCTCACAGGTGTAGCAGACTGGAAAGCACAGGCTTCCCAGGCATCCTCCTCAGCACTGCATTCAGATCCTGCCTCCCCTCCGACCTGTCTGGAACAGAACATCAGAACAATCAAATCAAGAGTAAGGGAAGAGAATCAAACTGCAAGAATCCTTGTAGTTGGAGGTTTTCTGCCCCGCCCACCAACATTAGTTGTAATTGTCCAATGGCTCAGGCATATTACTGACTAGCTCTCACATTTAAATTAATCCATTTCTATTATTCTATATTTTACCATGAGGTTTGTGGCTTGTTACCTCACATCTTACCTCTCTGGCAGCTACATGACGTCTCCCTGTGAAAGACCCCTACCCAGGGCCCCCCTAGGAAAAGAAAAGCAAGGCCAGGCCGTTGCCTAATGAAAGAAACCCAGACCAGGTGTCTCACCCTCAAAACAGGATGTCTGTGATCACTATAGCAGTCATGGGACCCGGATAATAATTGCTGAAGCGTGCTGGGAACTTTCATATGACAATACTAGAAAACCTAGTCCTTGGCAACTACCCTGGCCCCCAATTGTGTCTGATCACTATAGCAATCATGGGACCTGGATAATAATTGCTGAAGCGTGCTGGGAACTTTCATATGACAATACCAGGACACCTAGTCCTTGGCAACTACCCTTGCCCCCAGTTGTGTCTATGATCACCATAGTAGTCATGGGACCAGGATAATAATTGCTGAAGTATGCCTGGGTCTTTCATAAAGTAATACCAGGAAACTTAGTCCGTGGGAACTACCCCTGCCCCCAAGATGAGCCAATGAAATGCCTGTTACTCATGTAACCATTGAAACTCTATAAATATTGTACTCCCTGAAAGCCCGGTATGCTCTGCACCTGAGTTGCAGTAGCATCCGCAGGCGCCTGTGTACTCAATAAATCACCTCTTGCATTTGCAGCCAGTGGTCTGGCCCCGGTTCTTGGGCAGAGGGTTCGGTTCAGTGCCCGGCACTTTGATGCCGAGGTTTTTCACCTGACTCCATCTACTTTCTCTCTTTATCTTTGGATTTCCTGTCTGATTCTATTCTGCTTGGCCATTGGCTAAATCAGATTTATCAACCAATAAAAGCAACACATATTCTCAGCATACAGAAGGACACTCCATATCATCGCCCCTTTTCTAATTAAAAAAGGAAGGTTTCAACTCCAACATAGTAAAATTACATATAATAAAACAGTTATCAAGCAAGAATTATAGTTAAAATATTTAGTTCATTTGTATTTGGCAAAATTAAAGAAAATACTTTATCATCTAGCCTATTTTTGTGAGTCTAAAGTGTTATATATAATTTATCTTTTATTATAACTAAGGAAAACTATAACTATCTTCAACTCCACCAAAGATCCCAGAAGGATATAATATTGCCTAAGTAAATAAGAAGTGCATTGTAAGCAACTTCTAAAACTCTAGAAACGACAGAGACATCTGGTTGCCTGGACAGTCACCCAAAGTTCCTCTACAATACTGGGGCATCCATCTTCAGCCTACAGGCCTGGAGTGTCCGGCAGACTTTTCAGTGAAGCAGGGAGGACGTCAGTTGCTTTCTTCTGTGTCCTGCAGAATGTCTAGCAGTTTCCTCTGTGAAGCAAGAACCCTGAAGAACCATCTTGTCTTGGCAAGTTCAGCAGTCACTTTCTTGTGGGTCCTGCATGTCCAGTATATACAGCATACAGTCAAGCAGTCCAGGCAAGAGCAGTTCCTGCCCACATGGCTAGTCTTGCCACATTGGAAGCAAACTCCATAAGGAGTTTCTTCAGTTCCCATCTTCCTCTTTAAGTAACCGGTGCTGCCAGGAGCAGACGGGTCTCACTGTCGAGAAAAACCTAGGTTCTTAAAACATTTTAAATGCCTCCTGGGCAGTGGTGGCGCATGCTTTTAATCCCAGCACTCGGGAGGCAGAGGCAGGTGGACCTCTGTGAGTTCGAGACCAGCCTGGTCTACAAGAGCTAGTTCCAGGACAGCCTCCAAAGCTACAGAGAAACCCTGTCTCAAAAAAAAATTTTTTAAATGCCATATTCTGTAGGTCTTTGAAGTGTTTGAAGATTACCTATTCATCTGAAATATATCTCTCTGCACATCTAGAAAACCTAGCTAACATGACTGTTTGGCTATTATAGATGATTATAATTATACATTATTATTAATTATACATTACATCTTAAATGTGCTGCATAAACATAATGCCTTAAACAAGAGGAAAAATATATATACACTGTAAAAAAATAGACTTTAAATTTATATCAATCAACCAAAATCCATACCAGTGTATTCATTTCTATATCATGTTGCCCTTTATCTTTAGAAAGAGATTGACTGTGGCTGGGTGTTGGTGGCACACGCCTTTAATCCCAACACTTGGGAGGCAGAGGAAGGCTGATCTCTGTGAGTTTGAGACCAGCCTGGTCTACAAGAGCTAGTTCCAGGACAGCCTCCAAAGTCCAGAGAAACCTTGTCTCGAGAAAAATAAAAATAAAAAGATGGCTTAGCACACACCTGTGTGGGACTCAGGTATCCTGACACCCAGCTTCTGGTTCTTCCCACCATGTAGGGACCGGTTAACTGCTTGGTGTATCCAGGTCTTTAATGAGAAAAAGACCTGATCACCAGCACCTCCAATCAGCAGGAAGTGGTATAGGAAACTGTGCCCAAATTCCCAAAATGCTTGTTTATAAATGTTGGTTTTCATTTACAGGGGGTTGATTATAAATGTCTAATGGCCACAGTCAATCTCCTTCTTTTTTTTTTTTTTTGAGGGGGGTGCTAAGCCATCTTTGTGAGCAACAGTTTCTGTGAGGTGAAGGGAGAATGTGCACCTCACTGGGTATGGTGACCAATGAGCACTTCAGGTTGCTCTGATTCTAACAAACAGGTGTGAATAACACAAACCAGTCCCCACCAGGTACGACTGGACCTGGAGACTGCTTCCATGATATACTCACTGGATCACAGGCCTGCCTCTTCATCAATTTCCTTTGCAGACTGATTGCCCAGAAATACCGAGAAAGAAAGCTCCTGAGAAGAATCTCTCTTTTGGGGGCCCAAAGTAAATGAACACCTGCAACTTTTGGGAAACTTCCAGAAATTTTATGTCCTGCCCAGGAAAAACAAAAAACATCCTCTCTTTTGTAAGATCCAAGTCTTTGATCTAAACACCCACACACCCACACCCACACCCACACCCACACACACACACACACACACACACACACACACACACACACACACACACACACACACTACACTACACTGTTTTTTCTTTTTTTTTTTCCTTTGGTTTTTCGAGACAGGGTTTCTCTGTGTTGTTTTGGAGGCTGGCGGTCCAGCTCGGCCTCGAACTCACAGAGATCTTCCTGCCTCTGCCTCCCTAGTGCTGGGATTAAAGGTGTGTACCACCATGACCCAGCTGACTCAAAATTACCTTTTAATTACATTTGCTGAGCAGTATATGTGGGCATGTACATGCCTTGGTGTGTCTGCGAAGGTCAGAAGATGACTTGAGAGATTCTGCTACTTCCTTCAAACATGCCGGCACTAGAATTGAACCCGACTCACCGAGCCCGAGATGCATTTGCCACTGAGCTGTCTTGCTAGCCCCCGCCCTGTGTTTTAATAAGCTTCTGCACAGAGAACAGGTCTCACGAAGGTAAGCAGGAGGTATCTCCTTTAAGAAATGAGTGGATCCTAGAGGCTGGGGAGGCGCAGTGGTTAGCTGGCTGTGCAAGCATGAGTGCTAGCGTGTGATCTCAGGCCCTATGTGTCTGTAGCCCAGCAGTAGAGGGCAGAGAAAGGCAGATACTGAGAGCTGGTGACTTGTCAGCCTAGCAGAGACAGTTCAGTTAAAGACCTCCTCTCAAGGCAACAGAGTGGAGTGATGAAGTCACCCGTCTTCCGTTTCTGGCCTCCCCATGCACCTGCACACTCACATGCAAACGTACACACAGAGGGTGGGGGGAGATCCCGGAACACAGCCCCACATGTTGGTACTTAGTAACCAATACAGATGACCCCAGACCCCAGGTAGCTCTAACTAAGCACAAAAGCTCTACCGAGACATTCCCAGGGGTGTGGCCTGGTACTCCAATCACAGGATCCACTTCCCCCAGATCATTAGGGATCAGGGTTCACTCACTGGCCAGTGCTTGTACCTTCATCTAGGTGGACAAATCGCCACAATCACAACTGATTAGAAATGAGAGGGGGACAGTTGTGGTACTCCCTCACAGAGGTTTGCAGATGACTGCCAGGACCAAGAATAAAGTGGTAATCCCAGCGTCTCAGGCAGGAGAACGAGCCTTGTGCAGTATTTAGATCTAACATCTGCGGCATTAGCAGTGTGGGGGTGGGGATTCAGTCCAGGGACCATGCACCTGAGGTTGTACCCGGCCCAGCGTGGAGCAGCAACCATGCCAGGAACCTTCCGTGTTCCTGAGACAACCAATGCAGAGCAGAGGCAATGTTCTCACTCCTGGGGACCCAGCTGGGGACCCAGCACCCGTGTGGGGGAGAAGCCGGGCTGACTCACACCGCTCTGCACTTCCTGCTCTTTCCAGGAATGCCAGACAAGAAGCTTTGGAGGAGGAAGGTACCGTGTCACCTGGATGCTCCTCTTTCCCCAGACACTCCTGCTTCTTGCCTGGGCCTCCACCAAATCAGTTTATTTTGTTGTCAAAAACAAGGTCCCTTGGCTAGGCAGTGGTGGTGCTCACCTTTAATCCCAGCAGAGGCAGGTGAACTCTGTGAGTTCCAGGCCAGCCTGGGCTACTGAGAGAGTTCCAGGACAGCCAGGGCTACACAGAGAAACCCTGTCTCAAAGAAAAACAAAAACAAAGTCCCTGACCTCAAACTGCTAAGAATGAAAAGTAGCAGGGACAAGTGGATGGAGAACCTTAATGAAGTGATGTCCCCCAGCAGATGTGGTATGGGGGGTGGGATGGGAGGGGGTGGAGGCAGGTCCCAAAGGCGGGGAGCCCCCTGCTAGAGCAGCAGCTCTCAACTCGAGTGTCTCCACCCTTTGGGGGTGGCATGTCACATATCCTACATTTCAAACACGATTCAGGCAAGTAATGAAATTACAGTTATGAAGTAGCAATGACATAATTTTATGGTTGGGGGTCACCACAACACGAGGAAGCATATTAAACGGTCAGGGCATTGGGAAGGTTGAGAACCACTGACTGTGCTAGAGGGCCAGACTTGAAAGAGAAAAACATCAGTGGGGTGTTCACCAGGCAGACACACACACACACACACACAAATACACACACCTCTAATACATAAGATGTATTTGAAAAGAAGCAAATTTGCATACTAATGAAGTAAATGTGCTTGCTTATTTTTGCATAAGGAACTAAAATTTAGTTAAATATTTGAAGCCGGGTGGTGGTGGCACACGCCTTTAATCCCAGCACTCGGGAGGCAGAGGCAGGCGGATCTCTGTGAGTTCGAAGCTGGGCTGGACTGACAGCCTCCAAAACAATACAGAGAAACCCTATCTTGTAAAAACCAAAAAAAAAAAGAAAACCATAAAAATTCCAGATAGGTGTGGTTGTACACACAATCAATCCCAGCACTCAGAAGTCAAAGAGGAGGGTGGATCTCTATGAGTTCCAGACCCAGCAGGACTTCACAGTGGGAAGATAGGACTCAAGATAACCAAGTAAATAAATAAGACATTCTAACACAATATATACTAATGTGATGCATGATGAAGAATGACAGTAGAAGAATATTAAAGGCCTTTGCTGGAATGAAACCATTGATTCTATAAGAGCAATAAGTTTGTACTTATAGTAAAAAAAATACTGCCCCTCATAAACCACAGTGCTTTTAAATCTGGGCAGAGGTGACTCGGGAAGCTTTTGTTGGCATTACATGGCTGGCGTGCAAGACAAGGTGCACATGTCAAGTGTTCAGAACCACGGTTGCAGAGAAGCTGTACACCGCAAAATGGGCAAGGGCTGTCGGGACACTTCAAAGCTACTGTGTGCTCGACTTTGAATCAAGTTCTGGACATTTAGTGATCAATTCCTTTTACTGTTGCCAAACTTTCCACGCTGTCCACACTGTTACCCAATCCCCTGTGTTGCTTAGAAGGCTGTGATTTAGGGTACCAGCCCTTAAGGCAATCAAGGCTTCCGTACTTACCAGACACTACTCTCTCCCTGATGGCCCCTTTGGCCGCCTGTTCTCAGTACACACTGAGGGGATAAGCTCATGCCCTGAAGCTCCTCCTCAAGTAAGAGACAGCAACTGAGGCACCTGTGCAGCCTTAAAAGCTGAGAGACACAGGTCATAGAGGGGGGTGGAGCAGCTGGCCAACCAGATGGCCCCTCAAAGTTGGCTGTCCCTTAGTCCCCCCAATGGCCTCAGAAACACAAAGCTCTAGTCCACGAAGAGTTGGTTTTAACTCAGGGGACCAATTCAGCCTCATCAGACTCCGGGACACCAATGTCTAAACAACCAGCCAGTCAGCTCACTCGTCTTCAGCAGCTATTCATGTCAGCTACCCAGTGCCAAAATGCACAACCCATGGACAAGGATTTCATAAGCACCAAGAGTCCATTATTTAACAAACTGTAAGTACCTGACTGAAGGAAGTAAGCCAAATGAGGTGGGGACGGAAATGATAGGGGAAATTATGCAATAAGCTTGGCGTCACAGAAGCTGGAGTTCAAACGCTGTCCACCGTGTGTTAAAGAGCTGTCGTCGCATGTAAAGTGTGGGTATAATACACTTCCTTGCCAGGTTATTAGTCATTAAGTGGGGTTAGTGTAAACTGCCTAGTTATACTTATGTATTCATTTGGAGGCGGTATGCCATATGCTGACCCAGGGAGGCTCTGGGATCCTCGAGAGCTGGTACATAATCCTAGATCTGCAAGTCACTGGGAATACAGCCTTGGAGAGCAGCCCCTTCAATTTTCCCATCTGTAAAATGGGAATAAGGAGTCTTCAATGTATTAGTTCTAGGATATGGTAAGCATTTGATAAATGTGTGACCAAGAGCACTTAGCAGGGTGTGCAAGCATCTGTCTAACTCCCCTACTAGAAGAGCAGAGGCAGTGAGTTTGGGGTCAAGTTGGGCATATGGTGAGAGGGCGTGAAAGTTATTCTTAGAAGTTGTCCACAATAACTTAGTGGAGCATACATTTAAAAAGTTACAACTAATGCCAGCTTTTTGCTAGTTTTTTTTTGTTTGTTTGTTTGTTTTTTGGTTTTTCGAGACAGGGTTTCTCTGTGGCTTTGGAGGCTGTCCTGGAACTCGCTTGGTAGTCCAGGCTGGTCTCCAACTCACAGAGATCTGCCTGCCTCTGCCTCCCGAGTGCTGGGATTAAAGGCGTGCGCCACCAACGCCCGGCTTTTTGCTAGTTTTTTGACACAGTGTTTCTCTGTGTAGCCTTGGCTGTTATAGAACTTGCTCTGTAGACCAGGCTAGTCTCAAACTCAGAGCTCCTCCTGCCTTTGCCTCCACAGCGCTAGGTTTAAAGGCACACATCACCACCTCCTGTGAGCACAAGCTTTTTTTTTTGGTTTTTCGAGACAGGGTTTCTCTGTGGCTTTGGAGGCTGTCCTGGAACTCACTCTGTAGACCAGGCTGGTCTCGAACTCACAGAGATCCGCCTGCCTCTGCCTCCCGAGTGCTGGGATTAAAGGCGTGCGCCACCAACGCCCGGCTTGAGCACAAGCTTTTTCTCTTATTTCTTTATTTTTGGCTTTTTTTTTTTTTGACACAGGGGGTTTCTTTGTGGCTTTGGAGGCTGTCCTGGAATAAGCTCTTGTAGACCACGCTGGCCTCGAACTCACAGAGATCCACCTACCTCTGCCTCCCAAGTGTTAGTATTAAAGGCGTGTGCCAAGACTGCCTGGCTATTTTTGGTTTTCTTAAGATAGGCGTGCCCCACCACCGCCCTGTGCTTTTTTATTTTTATTTACTTGTTTGTTTATATGGTTGTCCTGGAACTCACAATGCAGATTAGGCTATCCTCTAACAGAGATCTATCTGCTTCTGCCTAGGATTAAAGGCGTCAGCGTGTTGGGCCAATACAAGTTTTTTTTTTTAAATGAAATTAAAGATCAGACCACGGAAAAGACCACTTTGTATCGCGTTATCAAAAATACCTTTCTGAGACAAGCTTCTTACCTCAGACTGGTTTTACATCCTTATTTTCTGAATCTCTAAAACCATGCCTTTTGAGTGTAGCAGAGCAAAAACTCAAATGTTTCAATACTGCTAAATCATGACCCATAAAGCACTGTGTGGAATCTATCTTTCCACTTTAAGGTGGGGGAACCCAGGTAAGACCTCAGCAGTGTGCATTCGGCTTAAAAACCGTAGGACCTTCGACTACGAAACAACAAAAGCTCCCACAGAAAATGACACAAATCTTCCAATTCTGCATCGTGTCTTTATTCTGCCTAATGACACTGTCCATTTCTAAATGGCGCCATAGGCATTGTAAGTCATGGGAAATTAACCTTGGTTCTGGGCAAAACAAAACAGATCTATTTTCACCTCACAGATTGCTCTGACTTAGAACAAAGGGCAGCCCCTCTTTCATAACCCTGTTGTTTCTCCCCATCCAGGAAACCTGGCAGCTGCTAAGCCAGGCTGCTCTCAGGAGCCTCAAGTTCCAACAGGACTCGGGTCCCACTCAGGTATTTCCACATGGTTTTAACGGGTGAATTTTTAGTCTCAATGGGAACTTTTACAGAAAAAAGACGAAGTTTTTGAACGGTGGGGGGAGTTTCTGCAGAAGAGAAACTGTTAGTAAATACACCTGCCCGGAGCTGCGGCTCAGCGGCCAGGGCTGGGCAGAGCGGCCCTGCGCCACCGACGAGGGGATGTCCAAACCCCAGGCACCGCCAGACCTCACTGGGGTCGAGACCGCACGGCGACGCACCCTCGGGGGCCCCCGTTACACACAAAAGGTGGCGTTTCCACCGCGGGGAGCTAGGGTCGCAGGCGCCGAGCCTCGGCTAGCCAGGCAGTCGGCCTTGCTTCCCGAGCTCGGGGATGCCAGACCCGGAGCCCGGGCCAGACAGCGGGGAAGAGGCAACCCGAGATGCGCTTTCCGAAGCGCTCGGCGTGCTCAGGGCGAGCATGCAAGTCCCGCGCGCGGCCCAAAGCCAAGCAGCGCCGCGGCGGAGCCCGGCCCCACCCGGCGGGTGGAAGAGACCGTGGCCATACTGCCTCAGCGCCCGAACTCACAGCGCAACCGAGCTATCGCGAGACCGCGGAGGCCTCTGGGAAGGACGGAGAAGGGGGGGAAGGGAGGGGAAGGAAGCGGGGATAGGCGGGAGGCGGGCCGAGCCCACGAGTGGAGCCCCAGGAAGTGGAGGGCGGGGAAAAGTGCGACCGACGCGCCCGCGAGCCAATGGCAAGCGAGCTCGGGTGGGCCCGCGGCCAATGAGCGGCGTCGGCCCGCTGCAGGGGGCGGGACCCGGGGCCGAGGGTAGCTTGAGCGCGGCGGCGGCGTTGTTCAGTCAGAGCGAGAACATTCCAGAGGTGAGTCCGCGGGGGGCGGTGGCCCGTGCCCCTGCCCAGCGCTTCCCGCCCCTCCACCCCGCGGGCCGCCGGCGGGGGGCAGGCCGCCTGCGGCTCACAGCCGTGTCCCCGCCAGGTCGCCAGGCTCGGCGCTGCTGGTGTGGACGCGGACGTCGCTGGGACAGCCCCTCCCGCTGCTCGGCGGCGGCACCTGCCCGGCCGCCCCTCCGCTCGCCGCCCGCCCCGCCGCTCCGGACCCGGTTTCCAGCGCCTCTTCCTCCCAGTCCCGGGCGAGCCGCGTTGGGTTTATGTCTTTATTTGACGAAAACGGTGAGTCGCTGGGCGGCGGGCCATGGCGGCGGCAAGATGGCGGCGCGGCCGCGTGACCCGCCGCGCGTGTGGCGCAGTTTGGGGGGGGCCGGGCCCCGCGGGGGCGAGCGGGCGCGCGCGCGCGTGCCGGCGCCGGGCTGAGTCAGGCCCGGGGCGCGTTTGTGACTCACGGGGGGCCGCCCGCCCGCCCCGCCGGAAGAGGGAGGCCGGGCGGCGGGCGCTCGCCGTCGCGTAGCCATGGGGACGGGGGCGAAGGTCGGCCGGGCGCCGGGGGAGGGAGCGAGCGAGCGAGCGAGCGAAGGGAGCCCCGGGCGCGGCTCCGGCCGCCTTCCTCGTGCTCCGACGGAGCCAATGGCTCCCGGCCTGGACGCGCCGCCCTGAAGCCAGCCCGGGAGGCGCCGAAGCCGCCGCTTGGCGGTTGGCAGGTCCGGCTCGACGGTTCCCGCTTGACAACGATGGCAGCCGGGGGAGGCGCGATCGCACAAGTTGTTTGCTCTCGGGCTTGAGCTGAGGGGGAGAGGAGCGCCCGGGTCCCCTTCCCGACAGTTACAACCCGCCCGCCCGCTCGCTCGGCAGGAGCAGCCTGCCACTCGCCGGCCGTCTCTCTGGCCCGACGGACTCCCAGCAGCCGAGGGAGCAGGGTTCGTGTCTGTGTCGATTCCTCATTTCCCTGCCGCCGTCACAGCCCGTGTCAAAATGGTGGCCTCCAAGGTTCCTCGGGTTATGCTTTTGTTACATGGTCAACTGATGTCCCACATGGACTCGGGGATCCTCCAGATGGGGTCGGTACTAACCCTGTGGGGACTTGTGTGTATTTCTCCTTTTCTCTTTCAGAGCTGTTGCGCAGCCATTGGTACCTGTATTGGGGAAACATAGCATACAAGCAAGAAGCTTACAGCCTCAGTGGCGAAAATTTTTTCATGTCAGAGACCGAGAACTCTTGCAGTCGTTTATGTCATCCCTTCTTCTCCAGACAGAAGATACCAAAAAGTTGCAATCAAAGATCTGTTCACCTTATTGATAAAGTCACTAATAAGCCAAAATGTCTGTCAACGTCAACCGCAGCGTGTCAGACCAGTTCTATCGCTACAAGATGCCCCGTTTGATTGCCAAGGTATGCTGACCTTCTGTTTGAGCAGGAAGCTGGTCCATAGGGTCTTCTTTACGTTTCATTTTACAGGGAAGACTGTACAAAATTGAAATTCTTATTTTCTTTAGGTTGAGGGCAAAGGAAATGGAATCAAGACAGTCATAGTCAACATGGTTGACGTTGCAAAGGCGCTTAATCGGCCTCCAACGTGTAAGTAAAGCTTGGAGAAGCCTGAAAAGGGATATTATGCACAGTCTTGAGAGTCTTTGAGCTATGCATCTTTTCTCAGTCCTTTGTTAATTAGCAAGTGTGGAACTTCTGACCAACTAGATGGGATGTCATTAAACCACCCTGGCTATATCTCAGTGACCCTGTAAGGTTTACAGAACGGTGACTTCTGTATAGATTGTATGGAGCCAGTGCTAAGGCTTAACTATATTGAAATGTCTTATAGATCCCACCAAATATTTTGGTTGTGAGCTGGGAGCACAGACCCAGTTTGATGTTAAGAATGACCGGTACATTGTCAACGGATCTCATGAGGCGAATAAGCTGCAAGACATGTTGGATGGATTCATTAAAAAATTTGTTCTCTGTCCTGAGTGTGAGAATCCTGAAACCGATCTGGTGAGTGCCTTGAAGATCTTTGTCATCCTGTGTGTGCTCTTGTGATATTATG